GTGCCACGTAGATGCAGCTATTCCTGGCCTCCGTCGCTGGTGGCGAACTGTCTGGTTGTAGTCTTGCACATGTCCGAATCATTTGATCTGTCTCTTGATGTAGATGTAGCTTAGCTCTGATTCTGTCCCAGCTTGTTTTCTGATATCGTCAGTTCTGATTCTGTCGGTTGTTGAAAGTATTCTTATGTAGGCAAACAATAGGCTGTACAAGTACAGATTTCAAATGAAAGCTACAGCAAATAGTCAGTAAAACATAATGTATGTAACATGAACTTCATGATTGAGGGGAGGGTCGTGATCGCCTATGCCTACGCGTCCATAAGGTGCTCTTCTTCTCTGGTCCTGGTTGCCCTTTCAGTGTCAGGTCCCTATAGTTTCTTCAAGCAAGATATAATCCACTGTCGGCTTGCTAGTCCCGGCGCTGTTTAAATGAGTATTTAACCAGATGGTTCCCATAGCCCGAGACTACTTGGAGGTGTGGTTGACTTGGGTGTCTTACCGGTCGTTGGCAGGCTACTAATTTTCGCCGGTCACCCGTCCAAACCCCGACACTTCTGACTCAATGTGGCCCGTGCCTGGACATAGTCCCAGCACACGTGTAATAAAGTGACCGTGATGTGTGGGTAAGTAAATCGGGTGTATACGGAAAAGCTAAAACAACCGAGCAACAGATAACAACAGCGTCGCTGTTCATCAGACGATCGGTAGCCGAGCCAGGGCGCGCTCGGCTGCTTGAAAAACAAATAACTATATAAGAAAAATAAAATGTTTTCAACATACTGGACGATTTAAAAATGGTAAGCCGCCTCCTCAGTGAAAGTTGGCTACGGTGCACCCAGTATTGACATTGGGAATATTACGCGGCGTAACCCAATTCGTTCCACGGTGCGACTCTCATACCGTCATCCGAAAACCAAGAGCACTTTTTAACAAACTAAACCGCCGTACTCGGAATCGAACCATAATACTTGAGGATAATAAAATAAGAGGGAAGATAAAAATCGTCCTTATTGTGTCCAAATGTGCTCACACTTTTAGTAACGTGGTGATGGTGTATACGGAAGTAAAGGTTGATGACAAGTATGCGGGGGGGGGGGAGAACTAGAGAACTTGAAACCGTCTAAGCAAAATAAAGTTCGTTAGTATATTCGGGGAAAGATGTCATGATTTCCCGTGACTAGCTTCTGACTAGAAGATGCAGACATCTTCATTAAAGTGCCGGCGTTGAATGAGGAAACGGTAACCCAGTCAGGCATTTGTCAGTGATAAAACTTATTACCTCCTACCTTCACCACGTGATTGCGCGCCATCCAATCAGAGCTTTACTGGTACCCAGTGTTATTGTTTTCATACGAGCGAAATGGATGAATCCGAGAGAGAGATTCTCCTACAGACGGACGGTCCAGTCAAACGAAAACTCGAGGGACAAGGAGAGGAAGTTTCTAAAAAAAAGCGATTATCTGGTTAGTAATAGCCTTGGTGCCAAAGTCGTTAATGGCAGTCTGTGTGTGGTTAACTTACCAGGTAAATATCACGTTCTGACAGTGTAATAATGGGAAGGCCAAATAAATACCCGGAACTTTCCATTTCTACACAATCATAGATCTGTGTCATCATTACTGGAATAATACGAAGTTTTTACACTAATTAGGTAAATTCGGTAGCAGTTGGATAATAATCTAATGACAGTTGTACTCTTGGATATATTGCTGGCTCTATGCAACGGTTCCGGCATCATTTTAGTTTTTGCAGCGCTAGTGTAATAGACACTTTGTGTTGAGTGCCGGTACATTTCTTATACACTTTATAGTGCCAGAATGGTTTTTCTAGGAAAACAAAATCCGTATTTGTACTTATCACAGTAAAGTTCTCCACTCACTCACAGACGAGCGCATGCTTCCCTCTTTTCGCTTTCTCTTCCCCCCCCCCCCCCAATACCTCGACCTTCTTTCGCGAAATTGCCGGACTACAGCTGCTTCTGATCCCCCTGCCCGTGAAATGGACTCATTTCTCAGGCCCCCCTCCCCATCTCTGAGACTCTCTCTGTCTGCCCTCCTCCCTCTCTGTCTGCCCCCTCTCTCTCTCCCTCTCTCTCTCTCTTTGTTAAATGAAGAACCTGTTTCCCAGTTGGTTCCCGTGAACTGTTATTAACGCTGTAAAGAGGAAGGGGTGCTTGTTGAAAACATAATTGGGAAGTTATAGAAAACCAGGGTTATTGCAGCCACTTGGTGGGGGGGGGGGGGGGGTCGACCTTATTTTGTATTACATAATTAGAGTTAAGTGCTTAGGTTATGTAATTCTAGTAGGGAAATGGCTAATCATATCACCCCATAGTGTGATACAATTTACTGCTATGTGTGACTTTGCATTATTTGGACATGAATATGATACAGTGGGAGGCAGTTATTACTCTATACGCCACCCAGTGTCCGAAAGTGGTGAATGCCTGCCACTGAAGGGGTGGCTTTAGAAAACATGCCACTGAAGGGGTGGCTTTAGAAAACCTGCCACTGAAGGGGTGGCTTTAGAAAACATGCCACTGAAGGGGTGGCTTTAGAAAACCTGCCACTGAAGGGGTGGCTTTAGAAATAACCTTCTAAGTAAACAGCTAGGACAGAGTTGAAAATCTTAACCTGAATAATATAGAACAGCAGTTACAGACATATCTTTAGTATTTGGTGTGTTCTCAGTCTTTGTCTATATAGTATTGGAAGTGTATGTGCACATGCTGAATACCTAGTGTAGCTGTAAATGTAACTTCTATAGAGGTTGAACCGGGTATCTTTGATTTGTTGGTCTGCGGTCCAGGATTAGATTTGTGTAGTTCCAGATTAGTCACAAACTTTCTGGTAGCAGCCTGAAGCAGGACAACACAAATTAGGAGGAGTATGGATCAATGATTACTGCAGGGATATCTCCATTCAATTCACAATTGTGTTTCTCTTAATGAGTTTACACTAAGCCGATACACAAAGTTTATTGTCTGGCAAATTTGACCTATCTCCTCTGCTGCATACTACTACATTTACAACATTATTTACCTATTCTTCACCTTCAATCAGTTATAGACTTAAGTTTTGTCCCAGAACTTTAGTTTTTACATGCACATCTGTTTTACAGATCTGGTTTATTTGTGTGCAGACTGTTGATTCTTTGCCTCTCAGTCAGAGGCACTCCCGCTTAAAAGAAAACAACCCTGATTAGCCACCTTTTAGGTCATGCTTGTTAGGGGGCAAGGGTCTATTCTTGTTCCTGCACCCTCCACACAATGGGGCCCTGGTAACAACACAGGAAGTCTGTGAACATTATAAAGCATTTAAATGAATCATTTCAACTGAAATACACAAATCACACATAATTAAATTCCATAAAATGAATGGAAAACACCAGGAACACATATTGTTGGTAATTTTGATATTATAAACTCAATCGTACATATGGCCTTATGAATCTCATTTGGATAATCACTCCTATTGAGTCTGGTTGCCCTAGATCCTAACTGTCCAGTGTATGTATAAGGCTTGTGTCAGTCTGAGTCTGGTCCTCATGCATAGCTTTGTTCAGCTCTGAAGATCCTACCATTTATCTTAGATTGCAGAGTCCTTTATGCTGTACTAGGCAATCTGAAGAAAGAACAAGGCTAACTGCCTCCCATCAAGCACCATTAGACCAAGAGAAATTATGCAGATATGTCAGTCCAGATGAGAACTAGTCAGCTGCAACATCCACAAGGTGATTGACAATTCTGTATCATTATAGCATGGAAGAACATCTGTATCAGTTGTGATTCATAGCATGTGAGAAAACTGGACAGACATGGTCACCAGCATGACATGGCATGGATGTTATCAAGAAGATAGACAGATATAATGATTCTTCTTTGTTTCCATATTATCTGCCTAACAGTCCATTCTCTTGGTTTGCGGACTGCAATGTGAGAGTCACACTGTGGAAGGGATAGAACCTGATCTCTTCATATTCTCCAAGGCAGTGGGAATAGATGGTATTACAATAGAAATGTTCCTCGCAACAGACAACAGCAACAGCTTGGTTGGCAAGAATCTTTAACATAGCTTGGGAGGCACAGAAGGTTCCACATGACTGGCAGAGAGCAATCAATGTCCCCATTGGGAAGAATAAAGGAGACAAACAAGGCTGTGAAACATTCAGGATCATCTCCATCTTGAGCCATAATGAAAAGATGTTTGCAATAAATACTGGAATTTAGAGCTTGACAAGTATTAGAACCTCAGTTAAGTAAGAGGCAATTCAGTTTCATGAAGGGAAAGAGCTGTAGAGACGCAATATTTTCTTTAAGGCTGATATGCGAGCAGTCTTTTGGATATGATAAAAGTCAGCACCTTATGTTTATAGATCAAGAGAAGACATTCGATCGAGTCAGTAGATGCAAACTATGGACAGTTCTAGAAGATTATGGTATTCAAGATCAACTGTTCATCATGGTTCTTTATCAAGATAGTCAGTCCACAGTCATAACAACAGAAGGAATGACAGATTGGTTCCCCCATCTCATCAGATGTCAGACAGGGACGTGTCCTCTCACTATTGCTATTCATTAGTAACATGGATACACATGAGGCAAATATAGACACTGAAGAAAACAATGAACTTCTTACTGCAGATGATCAGTGTCTAATACACCACCAAGGACAGAATTTGCAACACCATATTAACTCCTTACACCAAGCCTGCACAAAGTATGACATGATAATAAACACCTCAAAAACTGAGGTAATGAAAATAGGCAGGAAATATAGTAGCATGAATGTTCATTTGAATATTTTTACATCAAAAGTGCAAGAATTACAGAAATACACAAAACCACAATACTAGTTAGTATCAGTGAAAGACCACACAAAAAGGGGGGGGGGGCAGCACAGGCACATATCCATTTTAGCTAGCCTTCAATGTAGAGATGGCACAAATCTTGTATCTGTTCAATCTAGAATACAAGTGCTATTTGTTTGTTTCCTTTTTAGCATCAGCGTCAAGTTCCACAGACAATGCTGCAGCCAGGGAAGCCACAAGTGATGTCAGAGTTCAGTGCAATAATAATGCAGAGATATGTGCCACGTTGACAGAGGCCAGAGATTCCCTGCTGTCTTGCCTCAGTAACGCCAACAGAACACACTATGTTGTTTGTATTCCCAACCTGAGTAAGTTTGTGTTGAGTTACTTTAAAATTGTATGTTTAAAAAAAAAATAAGTCTTCTGCCTTTTATTCTCCAATATTCAATAGCGGCAAGGAACAACATACTGCACACAAATAAGCCATTAAAACGGATGTACACATAAAACTTGGATCCTGGCAAAATGCAGACAAACTGAACACAGATAAACAAACATCCTCCCATATAGCATAGACCACCAGTGAACTTATTCCAGTCTTTGCTATCCTTTACTATCTTGTGTGTGTGTGTGTGTTTTCAAACCCTTTTACATTTTGTTGGTCGGTATCCTCTTTATGTTGTGACACATAAGGCATTCACAAATGTTCATTGCTGCCAGTCTGCTGCTTTTCTACCCATGGCAACCAGTTTCAGATTAAATTTCTTGATTTCCCTGTCTGCTAACCTGCTATGGTTTAAAATGAAAAAAAAAAAGTAAAGGACCCTTTTCCCCGCTTTTAGGCATAAAGGGCTAGACCTATATTCTATAGACCAATCAGCACAAAATGGGTGATGTGGTCAGCATCACGCCATCGGGCCTTTACTTCCCGGGACTGCACCCGGTACCCTCTCAAGCCTGGGTCGGCCTGGAAGCCAAGGTTATTTTTGAAAAAAGTTTGGCTTCACAAGGGAGCTAACCGACGTTTTCCGATACGCGATAAGCATCTAACCGTTTGGCCACGGTGACTTCCATCCTGCTTAGGTCATTTATGTCTAATTTTTCAGTCTGTCTAACACTGCAGAGCTGTCCTTGACAAAGTATCCTACAGTATTCTGTAAACATACCCAGCCCATCTCCACCCTTTGTTAAAAAGCTGCTTATTTAATCGTTTTTAGTTCGATATTTATGGTAATTTTTTTGATAATAAATAAGCTAGTCCATTGTGATAGCATACACACCCAGAAAGAGAGAGATATTTGTGTCAGCTTAATTCAATCCACACTAGTAGTATTCAGTTTGTATACACTCACAGATAGGATTTCTAATAATTAATTGAAGTTATTCTAAAGTATTACAACTTGATTTATTTGTTACTGTATTTGCAGGTAATGCAATAACAATTTTAACTGAATTTAAAGATGTCCTGAAATTAATGAAAGAACATAAAAGCCAGAGTCCACGCATGTTTTCATTCCCAACACTTGCTGAAGCAGAGGCATTTGCTCACAAACACACAGCAAATGAAGTTTGTCAGGGAACATCCGGCAATTCAAGTTATCCACAGGTATGTCCATAAATGTTTGAACATATAAACATGTTCAGTAGTGTAATGGAAGCTGCTGTGGTAAAGTAGCTAGACTTTCGTCTTCACATCCAAAGGTCATAGGTTGAAATTTGCATGGAATTTGATTATTTTAATACATGACCTTGGCTACAAGGTCGACTCAGCCATAAATGTGTACCATGTAAAGTCCTGGGAAGTAAAGGCGGCTGGCAGGATATTGACCACATGACCCATCAAGGGCCGATTGGTCTATAAAAATATGCCACTGGCATGTAAAAGGACATCTACTGTTTGCTTACACTAGTGTAGTGGCTGGACGCTCACCTGTTGACCCAAAGGTTTTGTGTTGCATCTGCACCTAGTGGATTTGAAAACAAAATACTTATCTAGCCTAATGTTTTGGATTCAAATCTGCACCAGGCATGGCACTGACTTTGATTTTCAGGTTCCCTTACAGTGCAGAAGCACAAAAAGATCGTCGTGGTTAAAAGAGAAATGTGCGATGGGAAGCGATCAAAGGATGTGGCCATTACTCAACAATTAGAGGAAAGGTCATCATCATCATTTAGTCCTTTGTGTATTAAGTGTTTCCATCACATCCCACTGGAAAGATACTACATCATTCTACAGTTCCCCTGCCTAATGCATTATCATACTCATTTGACCATGTTGGTCTCCCGTAGTAGTTTAACAGGTAATGTAATGAGCCTTTACATGTAGGAACATGATTTTGTTTCACAGGAAAAGGCAGAAGTGGAGGTTAGTGAGGGCAAGCAGTTTCCCTCTCTGACAACACCACAGCTGAATGAATTCAGAATATATCTGGAAAAGGGCAACATAAGTGCAGCTAAACAGTGTATCCTGACTAACCCTCGATATCTGGTGCAGAGTATAGACATGCCGACAATTGTCAAGGTATGTTGTGTTTGTTCATACACTGTCTTCACTGTGTGGGTTCCGGGGCCCAATTATGGGAAAACAAAAATACACTCACTGTCTCCCTAATAAGCATGTCATAAGAGTCGACTAATAAGGTGTTCTTTCAGAGTTAGAATGTAGCTGCCTGAAAGACAAGGATCCAACAGTTTGCCTACAAATAAGCAAGATCTGTAAAATGGATGTGCCTGAAAAACTCGGGTTCTGGTAGAAGATTAAAGTCCAGAAGTGGACAAATTACCAAAACTTTCCACTGCAGTTTGCAGCATGTGAACGCAAAGAAGAATATTGCTTTAATTGTATTATAATCATTGCACACAGGTCAACTGTAGGTTGCTGGGGTGTCATGATGGTTGCACCAGTAATGAGTTCCCATAATTCTATATGAAGATATAGTAACTAGATGTTTGCCTGCCGCCCTCAAGGTATTGGGTTCAGATCTGCATTGAGTGGATTTATATTATGGATCTGAGCTCCCAGACCGACCCAGCCTAATATGGGAACCTGGAAATATTCTGAGCAGTAGAGGTGGCTGGGCGATGTTGGCCCACAAGTGCCAGTTTGTTTATACAAATATTTATCTTGAATCTTTAGCACAACTGACTTGGCAAACTTGCCCACATAAGTTTCTTGTTCTGCTGCAATCTTTAGCACAACTGACTTGGCAAACTTGCCCACATAAGTTTCTTGTTCTGCTGCAATCTTTAGCACAACTAACTTGGCAAACTTGCCCACATAAGTTTCTTGTTCTGCTGCAATCTTTACCACAACTAACTTGGCAAATTTGCCCACATAAGTTTCTTGTTCTGCTGCAATCTTTACCACAACTGACTTGGCAAATTTGCCCACATATGTTTCTTGTTCTTTCACACTCTTTACCTCATCTAAGTCGGCTACAACAACTTCTGTTCCATCTGCCCATGGTCATCTACTACAGTTATCCATCTATTACCTAGCTGTCAGCACTGAAACTCATGCGGTGAATGTGTCAGTCTTCTAACAATAACTACTCATGCAAGCATCTGTTCATGTTTGCCTCATCTTTGCCCAGCCATCTGCACAGTGGTCTTATCATTACTATAACATCTCTGTCTGGGAGTGAGCGCTACAAAGCTCTGTGAATAGGTATCATGGATGTCATGTAGATATTGATATTGTAAGGACTATTTATGCCGTTATCTGTTCCTATAAAGTATAATTAATCTTTACATGGCTAAGCGGTGTAATGTTTTTGCTTGCATTCTGAAGGGTTCATTTCACAGACTGCTTTGTTCAAGTGCAATGTTTTTGGAGAAGCTTCAAAGTTCTGTTTTGTGCAGTGCTCTTGGCAGGAAGCTAACCATTCTTTAGAGAGAGACTGAGCCGTATGGGATAAAACCCAGTGCACTGAAGTCAGTCCTCTCGACTTTAACTTTAAACCATCCTCGTAAATGTCACTCAATGGTTGCGTCATTAATATCACTTCTCTGCCCAGGAAGGAGCACGCTACAATGCTCTACATGCAAGTGTGATAGCCAATCAACTGGAGTCCTGTCGGCTGGTCATGGAGACAGTAAGCGATGTTGAATACCTGACACGTGCTTATAATTCTAGAAAGAGAGCTGAAAGAAGCTCAAAGAGATTGACTGACTTGTTTCTAAACACTCCAGATAAAGTGGTAAGTAACAAGTAATTGACCTCAGTAAGTGAGTGATAGAATTTGCTAAGCAGTTTTATCTAACAAGGGTCAGTCGATGCAAACGCTTCATAATGCAGGGTGCCCGGTTTGATCCCAGCTGCGGGCCATGCGCCTTGCGTTGGTTTCGACAGTGGTATCCAGGGGCAGACCGTCCAGGAAGCAGTGGCAAACTACTGGATGTAAATTTGCCTATAGAAACCACACAACCGCGCAGGGGCTGCTGGGGTTGGTTCTGCAACGTCCTGTAAAGGATACGCAACTAACCTTTATTGGTAGCATAGATGGTTGCTCTGTAAGGAAAATAAAGTTGTCATGTGTTGAGGACAGTTGAGCATATGATGCTAGTTTCATATTTTGACAGAAAATAGCTACAAAACTGTAGATCATATGTAGGTAAATGATAGATACTTAGATAATAGGTGAGATGAAATAGGTGGATAGAAAAATAGAAAATAAGTGAGATGAAATAGGTGGATAGAAAAATAGATAATAGGTGAGATGAAATAGGTGGATAGAAAAAACAAAGTTTGAGGAAACCCGAGGAGAGATTAATTGACTTGTGTCTAAACACATACACACCAGATAAAGTGGAAGCAAGTACAAAGTGAAGGAGCTCAGTAAGTAAATGAAAACATTTATGACTAGCGGAGTGCTGTTTTGTGAGGTCGCTATTGTGAAGCAGCTAGACGTCTACCTGTGGATTGAAAGGTCATAGGTTCGGGTTCTGATGTAGCCTGACATCTTGGCTCCCTGGTCGACCCAGCCATGAGTGGGCACCAGGTACAAGGTCTGAGAAGTAAGGGCGGCTGGCATGTTGCTGACCACATCACCTGCCAAGTGCAGGTTGGTATATATGCCCAGTACCCGAGGGGGTGGAATATGATACTTTACAGTGCTCTTTTGAGTCATTAAATGTGATCACAGCATGGGAGAAAATAAACAGATACATTTGAAACCAGACAGGAATGTCACAGGAATGCCTATTGTCATTCTTATTATCCTTACTGACTTTAGACCACATTTTGATAATGAAAAACAATAGGGAAAACATATATTGCATGAAAACCTTCACTGAACTGACTTTTTCAGCTAACAGAAACATCCACAATAAAACACCCACTTGCTTATGGACAGACTTTGGTTAACACCTGTTCATTCTCAGCCACAATAAAACACTCGCTTATGGTCAGACTTTGGTTAACACCTGTTCATTCTCAGCCACAATAAAACACTCACTTGCTTATGGACAGACTTTGGTTAACACCTGTTCATTCTCAGCCACAATAAAACACTCACTCACTTATGGACAGACTTTGGTTAACACCTGTTCATTCTCAGCCACAATAAATAGTTTTTTGTGCATTTTTCTTTAATTGTAACTGATATTCATGTGCCACATTAATACATTTACTATTATCTTATCTTTTATGTATCACATACTTCTTGTAGTTTACTCTACCTTTCCATTGTATCCTGTACAGTAGTCTCAGTATCATGGATTTTCATGTTTGTATGTAAACATTTCAGGCCAACAAGACACCTCTGCACTTTGCTAGTGAGAGGGGCTATTTGGATATTGTTGCCTTTCTGGTCAGCTTCAAAGTCTGCATCAGAAACTTCAACCGACACATCATTGAAACAGTCACGCAGGTTTGCTTTGTTTATGTTTCCCTTTTTTAATTTCTCTCCTACAGTGTCCCTGTTTATGCCTGAGATTACAGTCTAGGGTCCAGTGATATTTCAGTGACCATAGACATGCAATTAAGACACAGAATTCTCCATTTAAGGTCCCATTTTGAAAGGGAAAAAAAATCCACTGTCCCTCAACAAGCATGTTGGGAATGATGATTAATAAAGGATTGGCTAAAGTCAGATATGTTACGCTAAAAGGCACAAATATCACAACCTAGCTGCAAACCATAACATAACATGGGCCGTCATTCTTCTTGGGCTCATCTCATGCAGCCTGCTGAGACACATTGACAGATACTTCAACACAGTAAGCTTGGACACAAACAAACGTCGAGAACACTGCACAGCTGATAGCTACTGTTTATTGCTCCAACACTGTTCCCCTCGGTCAGTGCGCCATAGGTTTGATGTCTAAGGTGACAGCGACACAAGAACAATCTCATATACCTGACCTGAGTATTCATTATAAGCGTTGGCACGTGCCAACAATTGCATTCAGATCACTTGAACTTACAGCAAATAATATTTATCCATTCCAAAATGTAGTGCTACCAACATAATGAGGTTTTCTCGGGTAATAGGTAGGCGGCTTGAGCATACATTCACTTACTTCATGGATACATTCAGTTGGCACTTTCCAGTTACTATAAGACCAGGCATTTGCGCATGATTGAAAAGAAGACTCGGCTTCCTAACTCGCTTCAAAGTTGATTAATATATTCTACTTCTCCTGCGCTGAAAAGTTCCACTCAAAGTTTTATGCTTTTCTCACCTGACATACTTCAGCCAAACTGCAGGTTTGCCTTGAGTTAGTATCACTTACTTGATCTGTTCACCCAAACATAATAATGAGTAATTGATGCTATCCATCATAATTCTCGCTCATAGTTTATGTTTACCAGTTATCCTCGTGTCCAAAGAATGAGAGAATTTACCAACAGTAAGAAAATGAGTCATTACACATGGCAACCTCTTTTTTAAGGATAAACATATAAGCAGAAGAAAATGCAGATATAGACTGGAATAATCAACTGACACGTCACCGAGACAGTGAAGTAGATGTCCTTTATTTTTGTTTCCATTTTTAACAGTTTCTTTTCTGATAGTGTTTTTCTGTGTTCTTATGCCTGGTCTATAATCCATTAATGTAGCAACAGAAATAGACGAGAAATGAAGTTAAGAAATTCCTTGGGCAGCTTCCAGGACCCAGTTTTTATTGGGTTGTGGGGGATAGACCTACAGATCCTCAATAAGCTTGTTGTAAAATGCGACTAATTAAGGTTTTACTGAATTTGGAAGGGTTAGACCTAATGGCGCAGAGGTTGCAGCCTGGCTGTAAACCACCAGATGACATACCAACCACTCTTTAATGAGTGAATGCAATAAAAGAATAAAAAAACAATTATAAATGAAATAATTAAGTCGGTTCACAACCAGCCCACATGCTAATGCCGAGGATAGCTTAGTAATTTGGGCCTGCCATTTAAGGTTGCTCTGTGGCTTAGGCATTGCAAATGTGCTTCATAATGCTGGTTGTCGGGTTCGATCCCAGCTGCAGGCGATTTTTTGGCTTGCTTTTTCTTCGACAGTGGTATCGAAAGCCGGCCAAAACAGTAGCAAACTACTGAACGTAAAATTTGCCTACAAAAACCACAACAGCCAAAAAATGCTGGGGTTGGTTCTGCAGTGTCTTGTAAAGGAAACACAACTAACTACAATGAAAGCAGTTACCTTTTCTCGATCTCTTGAAGTCAACAGTATTCCAGTTAAATGACAACATTTATGTTCTGTGGCCCCTATTTTAAGGGAACATAGAATAGACCCACAGCACCCTTAACAAGCATGTCCTAAAAGGCAGCTAAATTGGCGTTTGCTGAAATCAGATGTCCTGGCCGAAAGATACAGGTTTACAAGCATAGTTGTAAACTGCAACTTGCCAACTACCATTTAAAAGACAAACATAAAAGAGAAAGAAGAAACAAATTATAACATGTATTGGTTTATCTAAATGAACATGGTGCAGCAACTTACAGATTTTAGAACTCATAACCTTACATATTTGTAGTCTATTACCATATTTACTTGTGTAAAGGCTGCAGTATTTTAACCGAAAAACTAAGATGAAAATCAGGGTCTCACTTGTACAAAATTTATTAATAAACAATAAACGATTTTGAAAAGTACCTTATGGAAACAGAACCTGTAATTGACGTCATTGTTTTCCGCCATCAAATCACGGGGTCATTTTGTGCCATAAAAGGCCTTGCCCAGTCATAACTGACTTTAAATTCACTCTGAAAAATTCTCTGGTGAGAATACCCTGGACAGGTAAAAAGAGTAATAAAGGCATCTTGAAAGAAACTGACTCACGAAGAGAAATGATTGCCCACATCATTCTTTGATCATGTGATGAGAAGGAGAAAACTAGAGTACATCATGACGGTAGGAAAGTTGGAGGGGAGGAGAGGCAGAAGGAAACCAAGAGAGAACAGATGCTGGACAGTTTGACATCATGGCATAGAAGATCATCACTGTCAGAGTTGATTGAAAGTACATGAGATAGAATGTTGTGGATAGACATAACTACCAACGCCACACGACATGGACTTTAAGAAGAAGAAGAGGAATTCCCATGATGTCTGATAATTGACACATTTCAAACTGTAACATTTCCACCAACACAGAAAACCTGTCTGTCCGTATATTCTTGACATAATTCAGCAGATTAGTTTCTTACCATGAAAAGATTGTTGACTTTGAAATATTTTTTCAAGATCATCTTTCATTCCAGTCCATCTTCACATGTTTTTTCTCATCCACATGAGACTTCCTTGCAGCTGCTCAGTTTTCATTTTAATACGCACAATGCACTATTTGAAACTTAAATTTACAACTTTAACTTCTTACTCTTACTTGACCCATCTTTTACTGTTTTTTGTTTGGTTTTGGTCTGTCGATAATATTCTAAAAAAAATATTTTTTCCAAAAATGTCATCTCAGAAGTGCGACCTATAAATGCATAAATATGGTATATTTATATTTTTTATGAGAACCAAACACTTTTACATTTGATGTGAGGTGCTGACTGTTGTCTTTTCTGTTTCTGATATAAAGGGAGATAAGCAAATACAACAGGTCTTGATCACAGGTGAAACACCCGAGGAGGTAAGCTTGATTTTCATGTGTTTAACATAAAATGTTCTATCTTTATGAAGTACATCAGTTCATTAAGACAGTCAACTCGAAGACTGGTGTTGAAGTCATTTAATCATTTCTCTACAATATCTCCTCTCCTCTCAGCAGCTTTCTTTAGCTCTGCCTAAGTCTCTACTCCAACAACATCTTGACATGCTTGTTTGATGAAATCTTTTCTTAGTATATGCTTGTTTTCTTTATCCTTAATTCTTATCTACTTGTCTACAAGTTTGTCTGTCCATGTTGAGTTTATCTTTCAGGGTGTACTCTTCTACAGGCTTTATTATACCAGTCGTTTAGAGCACTGGGGAAAGGGGCGTATTATTGACTTTATATTTGTGGCAACATTCATATCCACATTGAGTCACATTGTTTTCAAATTGACACCGGCTGCCAGGTCGACCCAGACTAAAATGGATATCAGGCGAAGTCCTAGGAAGTAAAGCTGGCATTGTGATGTTTACATCATCCATTGAATGCCAGTTGGACTAAAAAAAAATGTGAGTCTAGGATCATATGCCCAGTGTGCCACTGCTGCTGTGAAAAGGATTCTTTACTTTTTACCTTTTTACAATTTTTATTCCTGGTAGCAAGTATTAAACAAATACTCGCATTCTATATCTAGTTCTCTAAACATTTGTTGTTTTTATCTGATTTGCCTAACTTAGTTATAATCCTATCTTAAGCTGTTTAGACATGAGAAGATGTTTTATATTGTGGACAAAATAAAATAAAAAAACTGGTCTCAGAATCATCACTGAAGGTATGAGAAGCACACCAGTCAGTGAGCTGAAGACAGCTTCTGGTCTCCAGAGCTTAAGCATTTCGAAGAGAAGAAAAGGTACTTACCCTAACAGAAAAATTTAAACGCATGAACAACAACCCCATGTACAGAATAGCAAACAAATTAACTAAAAACTGACTGAAAAGACAAAGCTTTCACCATCTATTAAAATTGGACTGTGCAAAAAACTGTGTCATCTTTTCTTAAGATCTTTTAACGTGGGAAATGATCTACGCATACAACACATACCTACAGCCTAACTATACAGTCACAACAATTGCAGGCATAGACAGAAAAGCTGAAGAATGTGACCTAGTGCTGCATGCAAAGACCCTTGAACATGTCTACAGCTCTTATCCAAAACCTAAATGGACACACGTATACACTGATGGACCATTGGACAGAGCAGGAAAAAAAGGAAGAGCTGGATCGGTCATCTTGCTGCAAGATGGGACCACAGTAGAAACGTCATGAGCCTCCAGGAAATGAGTTAGTAGACAGACTTGCTAAAAATGAAACAATAGAGAAACACCACATCCATTCATTGTCATTACCAGAAATCAGCTAACACTTATCAAGGGAAATACCAGGAATTGTGGAGAGAACAAACTAACAGTAAACATCCACAAGACACCATCAGCAGACTCAATAGAAAGCATCATACAACAATTTTCTGTCTACGAACAGGACACTGCAGGCTCAACTAACACGTGCATAAAAAAAATGGTTGTACAGTTCAAACAGGACCACAAACACTCGAGCACATTTTGCAGACCTGCCCACTCTGCCTACAACTTCAAAAAGACACCTGGCCTCAGGAGTAAAGTGTGCAGAGCAAGCTATGGTGAACCATGAAGGACCTGCTGCTGACATGCGAGTTCACAGGGGCAACCTAATGGTATAATCTGAGCATACGAAGCCGAATGCAAAGAAGAATAAGAATTTTGCGGAATGTTGCTTTGACCATTTCTATTCTGCT